TTTATTTAAACATGTTATTAATACTTATTTTAACATATTGTCGTCAAAAAACTTTAAAAATAACGATTATGACAATTGTCACTTTTCTTTGGTACATCTTCCTAAATTTATATTTACACATGTTATTTATACTTATTTTAACCTATTTTCTTCAAAAAAAATTCAAAAAACTTATAAAATAACGATTATGACAATTGTCACATTAAAATATTATCCTTAAAAAGATCATATAAAATCATCAAAAAAGTTTCATAAAATCCACCTCATTTAATAAAAAATAGATAATTTTAAAAAAATTATAAAAAATTTATAAAAGATTTCACCTAAAAGATTGATATTTATCTAATAAAATTTACAATATAATTCCTCAATAAAAGATGTATTTATAAAGAAGATTGTGAAAATCACTAATAAATTATATTAAAAAGAATATTACAATTTTACAATATAGCAGCATATTATTTTTTTTATTAAAATAACATCAAATAAATAAATTTATTTTCATTTCAAAATATAATAATATAAATAAAAAATATTAAATCATATCATGTTTATTTGTTGATAATAATAAAATATTTACATTAAATATAAATAAAATAAATTATTTTACTAAAATAAATAAATAATAATTAATACTAAGCATCGATGCAGAATTTTGACTAATTTTTAGCAGATTTATATAGGCTTAGCCGATTTTTAGGCTTAACCTAATTAGGCTAAGCCGATTTTTAGTTTTAGCCGATTTTTAGGCTTACCTAATTAGGCTTAGCCGATTTTTAGGCTTAGGCTAATACGCTTAGCCGATTTTTAGACTTAGCCTTATTAGGCTTAGGCGTAGTTTTTAGCCGACTACGCAACACTACTCGCAGCCACCTTCGATACCAACCACTAGACTTGGAGATTAGTTTTGATACTTATCTCCTGAAGAGGATGCCTATGCCAATTGGGCGTAAGTTTTTGTTAGGTTTTGTGAGGGCGATTATTTTGCTCCAAGCCGAATTGGTTAGGCTAAGATAGGTGCGTCACCATGTAAGAGCCGGTTGCAAAGGGTATTTATACTGCTGAGTAAATTAGTTTGAGTGTTTAAAAGAGGGATTGTTAGGTCTTGAAGATATATCTGTCTCATGCCTTCAACGCCATGTGCAGAATCTTTTTGAAAAGTTGAGATCGCTCTTCTCATATTCTCTGAATTCTGCTGTATGTGGAAATTACACCAGGCAATTTAGTTGCATGATGTTTAGGGTTGTGCGACGCCGGCTCACGCCGGTATTTTTATTCACGCCGGGAAAGCCGCCGATTGAGATCATCGGCGCGAGCCGGCTCGCCGCCGATTTTTATTATGGCGGCGGCGTGGCGTATGTAATTTAGAAAGCATATTAATTATATTTATATAATATTAACATTAATAAAATTAAAATATGAATTGTTTGCTATATATCATAGACTAGTATATATCATTTACATTCATTCATACATCATATTTTATTTCCACAAACAATTCATATTAATTATTTTTATGGACTTGCACGTTTTAAACCACCCTATATACAATTATTAAATAACAACTCTCTCTACTAATCATAAATCAAGTTATGTCTGGAGGTACTTTGGAAATCTTATTTTGAAGAATGAAAATAAGAAAAGCACAATAATGCCTGATTATATTTATTGTGAACCTTGCTTAAAATTGGCGAAAGCCAACACCAAATGCAGCAACAATATAAAAGATAAAAAATGGCTCTTCGGTTATTATTATTGTTTATTATTATTCATTTAAAATTTTTAACTGGTTTGTAATATTAATTTTATTAAGCTTTATTTTGAAAGTTCAAAACAATTAAATTTTTAGTTTATTTATTGTCAGCTCTATTTTGAGATCTTTTAATGTATAAACTTAATATATAATTTATTAAATTAATTATATAAAACTTTATTTTGAAAGTTTAAATCAAATTCATAATTTGTTTCATTCCAACTCTAATTATTATATTTTTAAATGTCGTTTAATGTATAACTTAATATATAATTTATTAAATTAATTATGTAAAACTTTATTTTAAAAGTTAAAACTAAATCAAATTTATAATATGTTTCATTCCAGCTCTAATTATTTTGATGTTTTTTAAATATCTTTTTAATGTTTAAAATAAATATGAAATCTAATATGGCGAAATTATGTTTTGATATGCTGCTTATATTTAATGCCATTTGATTCTATAAACAATAAAGAAATGACAGATTTTCTAAAGGTTTAAAATTTATATAAAATGATTATTAAAAAATAAATTGCCTAAAAAATAGAAATATAAGATAATTGATTCCTCGTCAGAATTACCAAATAGGGCAACCATTAGTCTGGGTGCACTAAATTATGTTTGTTTATCTATAAAGGCGCATGTTGTAAATCTGATTGATTCTGGACCAAAATTTTGTTCTATCACTTTTGATTTATGGACCTATCATTTCAAGCGTCGAAATTATATCACATTTAGTCTTCATCATTTAGATGTAAATTTTGATTTAAAATATTTTACCCTAGCAACTAGAAATGTGACTCAAAAGCATACTGGGGAAACAATATTATCTGAGATGGATAGTATTGAAGAGGAGTTCCATTTAATAGCCAAAATAATACAAATGGTAACTGATGCTGGAGCCAATGTCAAAAGAAGCGTCAATTAGGGGATTATGAGCATCATTTATGTTTAGGGCATGGACTTCATAATTTGGTTACAATTGATGGCATAAAAAAGTTACCAAAATTGATATTCTCATTAAAAAAAATTAGAGAAATTATTTCAGCCCTCAGATATCGAGTAGCTGATTTGGAATGTGAAATTGAGGTTGAACATCATAAATGTCTGCAGTCAATTTATGAGACAGGTAATATCTTGGATATTAATGATTTGATCCATACCTAGATGACCATTTTTATGTCTGATGAATCGGATAATAGAAATGGCATTGCACCAACCAATCTAATTATTGCAAAAACTTTAAAATTAAATTGCCTTACCCGCTGGCATAGCATATTGATTATGCTAGAAAGGGTTCGCAGTGTAATCAAAATTCCTATAAATAAAGTTCTAAATAAAATAGGAAAACAATCTTTGAAACTCTTTAATAAAGAATGGGATATGATTGATGAGCTTTACGCAGTATTATATCCATTCCGAGAGTCGGTGGATTTTCTTTCCTCCCAAAAAGGATCGACAATAAACTTAGTATTATTTCTCAGTGAAATAGAAGCTCATATACAAATCAATAGATCTGATTGCTCAGATATTATATGCTTAAAAGAAAATATGAAAAGCTTGACTATAAGTTTCTCATTACTGAACTTCAAGTTATTTTATATTTTTATTAATAAAATTATATTTTAAACATTAGATATTAGCAACTCTACTTGAAAAAAATTTAAAAAACCGCCGCCGTCGATTGAAACATCGGCGTACAGGTCTATTCATAGCTAATTGAGTGTAGGTTTGAAAATTAATGGGGCCACTGTGTCTGATGAAAAGGCCGGAACCTCATTATAGCTAAATTATCGATTTTTTCCCCATTAAATTTACCGTTAACTTAAGATTTCTGGATAATTTCATTATGGAGATTATGCCCACTAAAATATTGTCTAAATCCTTTAACCTGTTCTTAATTTATTGGGTGAGGGACAACTTACTTTTGTCAATTTGGACTTGAAGGGCATGGAAGCCAAATAAAAAAAACTTTTTCCAATGCTGTAAGGAGTTAAAATTGGTTAGAAGATTATTAATATTTTCACTGTATGATTTAGCCGCAATAAGCCTGCCTCCTCAGAGGATTCTTGAGATAATGTGGATTTAGGTAAATTTGTAAATTTATCGGAGAAGGAGGGTGATGGTAACTCATTGGAGGTGCAAGGTGAGACTCATTCTGGCCTCTTCATCAGACAGACTGGCCATTAGCTTTCAAAGATACACTCAATTAGCTGTGACGGACCCTTCACAACAGGCAACTGAATCACCTAGTGTAATTTCCACATGTTATCTAGCAAAATTTACCCAAGAGGAAGTGAGAAAAGCGATCTCAACTTTTTAAAAAGATTCTGCATATGGCTTTGAAGGCATGAGACCGATATATTTCCAAGATCTAGCCATCTATAAACTAAATCTATAAATAATATAGATAATTAACAAAAAATTAAATAAGTTATTTATGATAAGATTCAATAACAAATACATTATAGAGATTTCAAGCACAATGAATTATAAAACGTTTGTTATAGAAATAGATAGCCATCCAAGAGTGGAATAATATAAGATTCTTGATCGACATTGAGAAAAATTTAGATATAGATTATAGTATAGAATAGAATAGCAATCGATATTAAAAATCTGATGGCCGGAAAATTCTTAGAAAAAATTTGGATCGTGGTATCTTTAGTAAATTTTTAACGATCCACGACGGGTCCGATTTTTCCCAAATTTTGGATCGGACTGCGCTTCAGGCATATTTTTTAAAAGTTAGAGGGATGGGCCACTTATGCTAAATTCTTAACGAGCCGGGCCTTGCAGACCTCTGATCAAGTATTTAATTTTATTATTATTTATAAGCAATATTTTAATAATGGTTAGAAAAATTTTTAAAAATTGCCCTGACTATCGGCAACGTGTTGGCTTTGTATAAATAATCAGCGACGCATTCTAGAGGGCACAAAAATTATAGCTAATGACTGACCGGCGTACAGCTCTAGATGGGACTAACAAAATTTATAATTATACTAAGATCAGTCATATAAAGGAGTCACTTATAGAGGTCTGCCAAACCCGGGAAAATTGTGAATGTTATTTCGGGTGTGGGGTTGGAAAATTTTTATTTTTTTTTTAAAAAAACTAGGTCGAGAAAGACTTTTTTTCTTGCAAATTAGGTTTAAAAAATTTGTCGCGTGCAGGTTTCTAGTCACTTATGATATAGTTTTTTTATTATTTATATCACTATTTTATACCCAACACTATTCTCAGTCCCTGATTGTGCTGCCTCAATATCCCCCTGCGTTCTTCCACCTTTTCCACCCCACCATCATAATGATGCCGCTTCAGCTTGTACATCGAATTCTTTTTCCGCGACTTCCAATCATCATCACGCTCCTTCTTCCTACAATCACAACATCAACCAACATCATAACCCTAATCTTCCTCTGCTCCCTTCGGCCTCTTACAACCATAACCCTTCCTGCGCTAACGTTAATAATATCATGATTAAACAGGATAGGGCAGACAGATGGCTTCATTCGTTAGTTGAAACGATGTGCGTTCCAGATTCTGGCTTAGATATTAGAGACCGGAATTGGCTTAAATTGACCATAAAAAATGCTTTTTTAGGTTCTGATCTGGTCGATTGGCTTGCTGCTAGAGGGTACAGATTGGACGAGGGAGACATTTACAAAAGGATTGGATCCGGGGAGACTATTAATAATGGTTCATTTTATAAAAAAAATTATTCAATTATCTTAATTTTTCTTTTGCTTATTTAATCTAACCGAGCGGTTCCTGGTTTTTAAAGACACTCATATCGGTTCGTTCTGGTTTAGAATTTATATCTGATCGTTTCGATTTTTATAAATTTTATTTTTAAAAAAATTACTCTTATTATTTAACATCTAAAATGTATTATTATTTTTAACTCAATGTAAGACCATTTAATATAAAACACATATATGAAATAAAAGTATAAAAATAATTTAATGCAATTTTAGTTAACTTATTTAAATTGAAGATTTATAGTGAGATTTTTTATTATTATAAAATTTAACAAAATACAGATTTAGTAGAATATTGGAATTATGATTTTTCCCTAAATTATAAGCAAGCATTATTATAAAAACTAATTAATTAATAATATATATATATGAATAAGCTTGTTAATTTAGCCATAAATAGTTTTGTATGATAATTGTTTAAGATTATTTCTTATCTAATTGATTAGTAATTTGCCTAATTTTTATTAAACTGAGTATATAAATTAAAAAAAATAAACTTGGTATTGATTGATATGAAGATAAAGGCTATTTAATTGTATAAAAAAAAATTTAATTTGAAGGAAATTACGATTTTAAATTACCTTCAAGGAAAATTAAAATTTGAAATTTATGTTAATAATTTAAAATTAATTATTTTAATTTTAAAAACCGTTAAGATCCGGGTTAAACCGGTTTAAAATATTTATAACAATTGGTTCGCTCTTTTTATATTTCTTTATAATGAGTCGTTCACTGTGACGATTCATAAAATTATACCAGTTTCGCCGTTCGATTTGGTTTGAAACCCTCATATTTACCCACTATACAAAAATTTGAATATACTCCTTAACATTATATATATTTTGGTTTTTGGACTTCACAATTATCGATTTCCCTATCTTTAATCGTTTTACATTTTATTTGAAATACGTATAAATGTTAATTTTCTTTTAACTAGATAAAATCACCCCCCCCCCCACCCTATTTTTATATCGATATTATCATTATTCAAATTAATGAAGGTCAAAGACCGGGCCGATTTTTTTAAAGTTTTGCAAAACCTCCATTAAACCTAGGTCCAAATTAAATCAGGAAATATTAAATATTTAGTCTTGACTTTAGTTTTTATTATTTATTTTTATGGGTTTTTTTCATTTTCAGGCAGGATAATATGATTCGGAAACCACTTACAAAATTTATAATGAGATCATATTTATTGAAACCACCAAAATATTAAAATTAAATATATTTTGAATCATTCCAATTTACTAACCATGTTATATAATGTTGGTAGTTGAAACAGGAGTTAATCAAAATATGACATTTTTTATTTTTAAATTTACCAATTAAAAATTAAAAAAGATAAAATTTTATGCTTTTGAAGCTATAAAATTATTAATTTTGATTAAAACAAATTTAAGAAGATGGAGGTGTAATTAATGTAATGTTCTCCTTCATCTAATTTTATTTAAAAAATTTAAAGTATATTATCTTATATGCATAAAAATATAACTTTTTACTATACCAAAAGGAAGAATTATAAGGTTAATTGGATTTAATAAAATTAAAGAATTTACTTTAGTTTTAAAAGAAATATATTTTTTTCCTTTTGTTTCTTATAAAAAGTGTGACTTTTTTTTGAGGTAATATATTCTTCTGTCTTATTTTTGCATCCCCCCCCAGCCCTACCACTATGAGATTATTGGGCTATATAATACATTTTATGGGCATTTTAAATAACAGGGCAGACGACCTTATGGGTTTGAGAAGCAAGATGATAAGAAGAGGTGGTCATTATCATTAAGAAAATATTTAAGTCATTTTGACTAAAAATAATATATTTTTATTATTATATCCCATTTGAACTTAATTTTATAAACCAAAATATTAATAATTGCAAGAATATTTAATATTATTAGAAATAAATGTTTTATTAAATTTATTTTTATCAGAGACCTTCAGGCCCGGCCCTAAGTCCGGCTCGACTGCATTTTAATTTTTTAAATATACTCGGGCCAGGCCTAAAAAATTTTTAACCAAATATTTAAAATCGCCATTATTAGCTATAAAAATCAAAAATAAATAAAATATATTTTAAAAAAAACCCGGGCCGAAAGACATTTTTGAAAAAAATATCCGGGCCGGGTCGTACAAATGATACCTCTGCAGGTCTCTGATTTTTATAAATATAATTGCACATATATTATTAGTATAAGAACTGAAAATCTCAAATTAAAAAATTTCGCATTTAAAAAATTTTAACGGTCTGGACCAAAAGATTCATCCTAAAACCTTTTGCAAAAACCGTTTTTCGTTGACCATTACTAATTAATATTCTTCCCTCTTTTAATTTCTTATAGACTATATATATAGCGATGACAATTTTTAAAATCAAATTTATTTTAACTTATTTTTATTTTGGAAATATAGATTTACATTCAACCAGCAGCGGTGCTAGCAGTGGTAGCAGCGGAAATCGTAAACAGGAAGCAAAAAAGTTGGCATCTTATTTGCTCAAAAAAGGATTGATAAAGCACTCACTCAGCAAAAATTCTTTCTCGGAACAATGCTATTACGTTATAAACATTAAATGATTATCAAAGATTTCTTTTATCGATTCCAAATTTGTTTGTAAAAGTTTGTTATTGATATGGATATTATCTTTTTTCAAGGATGCATAATATTTTATTTATTTGTTATTCATTTTGGAAATTGTCTGTCACTGAGACATTTAGGAAAATAATTTTTAGATTTTTTTAAAAAAATACGCCGAATTATTAACTGAGGCCAATGATTTAAATAATAAATTTCAATGATAATTGAGATTTAAAATAATTATATTGGTTTTAATTTTTGTTATTTTATATAGTATATTTAAAATTATAGGAATTTTTAAATCTCAATTACAAGTTATATATCAAAATATTTGTAAATATTCTAATTAAACACATATTAATTATGCATTTTATAATTATATATAATTAATTTATATCTAAATAAATATTTTTTAAAAAAACCGTTTTTGATAAAAATATATTTCTTATGTGCTTAGCAAATATAATTTTTTTAATGTATCATTATTGTGAATTTAAATAAAAATAATTTGTCTATTGCCGAATTTAACATAAAAAATTTGGATAAATTTATGAATTGCGAGTAATGTTAAATTGTTCAGCCGAATCTCGACTTCCTTTAATTGGATCCGGTTTTAAGTCGATAAAATGATTCCGATGCAATAAACTTAATGAGCCGTCCCATTGGATGGGCTAGTGAGATGGGTTGATGGGCTGGCTCGATTATTTGATGTATAAAAATTTTACAACTAATATGTGATTGAAAAGTATTTAATATCAGAAAGAATTCTTAAGTCTGAACAATTAAATAATATATTTTATATAGATTTGTATATGTGATAACTCATATTCTTGATCTATAGGCGTAGCCAGGATTTTCCTAAGGGGGGGGGGGGAATTAAAAAATTACTGGGGGCTTCTCCCCCAGACCTTATTTTGGGCAAATATTTTTACAAGATAGGAGGTTAATTTTAATTAAAAAAATAAGCCTGGAACAAATATGAAATATATTTTTATTAGTTTATATAAAATATAATAAATTAGTTGTTTTTATATATTATAAATATTAAACTTTATTCGGTAAAAAAATTAAAACATGAACATTTATATACACTATTGAGTTAAAAATATATATTAAAAACAAAAAAATCAATATAAAAACATATAATTAAAAGAAGGGAAATTAAGAGAAAAAAAATTAAAAAATTATTTTAAAAAAAAGAAGAGGGATATCTAATTAGGTGTGGTCCACGGGGCTTAATGACCCATGAATGGATATACAGTTTGAACGGCAGATTTCGATTGAAATCCTTTGGCGGAGGTAGAAACCTTCTTTCGGATCACCTGTGATTAATCGTAACCTTTGCCCTATTGTTTTGAATAATTTTAAGGCTTGGGGTCCGAATGATCCACAGGTGTCTGAGACTACCGGAGCGAATAAAATATTATTAAGGTGGCAATATTTATTTGTTTTTGTATTCTCCGCTTTTGAGAAGGAGTTGGCAGAAAAAGATCTGACAAAACGATCAACGCAGGTATAGTCCCAAGCGAGAGGTAAACCTTGGTTCCAAGGGACTAACGTCAAACCATCCGGTCTGGTTTGATTATCGGAGCTAAGACCGGTAGGTTCCAGTGTGGAGGGAGTATTTGTAGATCTCAGCGTTCTATTGATTATTGAATTAATGGCATAATGTCTAGGAAGTCTGCCCTTTGAGAAAAGACAGTGTAGGGGGTGTAATAATTTATTCCAAACAAGTATAAGAAATTTATTTATAAAAATTAAGTAGACATATAGTTGATATTCCTCTATTATATAGAATAAGTTACAAAATACTAGGTAAAATTTCACTTTTACAGACATATTTGACAGTTAGAGAAATATTACAGTTATTAATTTAACAAATTTATTAATCAATGCTCTTGATCAGGGTTTCGAACCGAACCGAACCGCCAAACCGGAATGAACCGTTATAATTTTCTGAACCGTAACCGAACCGTTATAAAGAAACTATAAAAAGAGCGAACCGAACCTTTATAAATATTTTAAACCGGTTCAAAACGGTTTTTAAAAATAAATAAATTTAAACATTATTAACCTAAATTTGAAATTTGAATTTTCCTTGGGGAAATTTTTAAACTCTTTATTTCTTTTCAAATTGAATTTTTTTTACATGTCAATTAATACCACCATGTTTATTGTTTTTACTTTTCACTTTAATAAATACTCAATTTAAAAGAGATTATACGAATTACCAGTTAATTAGATAAGAATCTTAAAATCAAACAAGACTATTCTTTAAATTAACAAGTTTATTCTTATATATATATATATATGTATATTAGTTATTAATTAGCTTATTAATACTTGCTAATAATTTGGGAAAAATCATAATTCTAACTAACATCTAAAGAAAATCAGGTACTGATTACTTTTAATAAAATACTGTTTTATATTAATTTCTTATTAATTAATATTTTCATAATGAATAATTTATAATGACTTAAATGAATATTAGAATTCTGAAATTAAAAAAAAACATATGATTGTTAATTAATATTCCTATATTTTATGGTTAATTTATTTATTTATTTCCATTTACACTTTAGTGGATAATTTCTTGAAATAATAACTACTTACTGATTAACCTTCTAAATCTTATAGTACCAAATAAAATTTAAACACATGAAATTCAATTGGATAATTATAAAATGATAAAGTATCCATTAAAGTTTTAATTTAATTAACTTTAATTTTTTAATAAAAGACAGTTGTTTTTGGAATTATAAACAGCTTTTCTATTTCTTTTCTTCTTATTTTATATCTTATCTTTTTGCTTCTTTCTTTTCTCTATTAAATCAAATTATTTATTAAAATGGTATTAGTAAGCTCCATTCACTTATTTAGTTTCACCTGTGTACAAATTTGTTTTGTTAGTATTTTTGAGGAAAAAATCGGCATAATTATATGAAGGGTAGGCCTGCATATAATTCACATTTTTGGGGGAGATCTTGTCAGATAAGATAAATAAAAAATTATACTGATTCTATTAAGAAATTTATTTATTCTATTTTTATAATAAAAGATTCTGATCTATTCATCATCATATAGCATATTAGTATCTATTAAATGGTTCGGGAAAAGTCAAATCCTGTGCGATCATATTTTAAATTAGATATTGTAAAAAATCAATCTACTTGTAAACTAGAAAACTGTGGTAAAGTTTTAACCGGGGACCATGCAGCAAATCTTAAACGACATATAGAAAGATTCCACGATAAGGAATTCAAATTATTATAAAAAAAAAAGATAATTTGACTATTAAAAAAACAATAACAAAAAATGCAAATAATCATAATACAATTCAAAATGCTTTTACCAAAACTAATACAATACAAATTAATATTAATAAAGACACTTTAATCCGCTCCTGCACTGAGTTAATCACAGTTCATGGGAGACCAATAAAATCAATTGATGACAAAGCATTTAGAAATATTATAGATCCGATAATTGTAGGATTGGGTGGTAATTTAACCATCAATTCTGAAAATATACGCAATAATATTAAAAAAATGGCATTTGATTTTTCGCAAAATTTAAAAAAAGAAATATACCAAAAACTTATATCGTTAAAATTAGATATTGCAATTCGATATGATAGGTCCATACTGGGGATCAATATTCAATTTATAGATAATGGAGAAATAAAATTAAGAACGTTATGCATGAAAGAGATTAAAGAAAGACATACATCAGAATATCTAAAAAAAATTATTCTAGATGTTCTAAACGAACATGAAATAAGAATTGATCAAATTTATACGATAACCACAGACAATGCAGCTAACATGATTAAATTAATTAAGCTGTTAATACATCATGATGAAGAAGATGATGAAGATGATATCCTTAATGATAATTTAGATAATGATAATTTAAATAACAATGATGATATAATTGTTAATGAAAATGAAGAACCTTTTTTTAATATTGAAAATATTAATCTTGTACCTCATACGAGATCCATGTTAATGGGCATTAGATGTGCCTCCCACACATTTCAATTAGCAATGAATGATTGCATAAAAAATTCAAATGAAATTGTTATTATTAATAAAGCAAGAAACATTTGCAAAAAAATAAGAAATCAGACTACAATGTCTATTTTGTCCAAATTAAATTTAAAAAAGCCACTAATAGATTGTTGCACAAGATGGAATTCAATCTATTTAATGTTGGAAAGATTATTAGAGTTAAAAAACTTTTGCCAAGAAATATCGGCCCAAAGTAATGATCGTGAAAAATGTTTGTCAGAGAATGAATGGAAAATAATTAGTGATATATTAAAAGCTTTATATCCATCTTATATTTTGACAAAATATATACAAAGTGAACAAATGACCATGGGCGATTTTTATGCAGCATGGATCAAATGTATCATGCAAACTAGCAAAATAGACACTTCATTTGCCAAACTTTTAGTTTGTACAATCAAAGCACGAGAGATTAATTTGAAAAATGAAGTTTTTTGCTCAGCTATATATCTCGACCCAAGATATAATGTATTTTTATCATTTGAAGAAAAAGATATCGCCAAAAAACATCTTTATAAAACTTGGAACTTAATCCAAAATTTAAATAATCAGAATATTGAAAATCTAGATACTATTCCTACGTGTTCACATTCGAAAGATAACTTAGATGATGATTTTGAAGATTTATTAATGTCTCATGAAAGCCTTAATAAGAATAGTTCTCAAGGCATAGAAAATTATAATAAATGTGTAGAAATAGAGTATATAATTCGGTCATTTGATAATATAGAGAGATTAGAAAAAGATGCAAATCTTTTGAATTATTGGGGAAATGTAAAGAATAGTATGCCAGAACTTTATAAGTTAGCTATGGTTGTGCTAGCAGTTCCAGCTACGCAGGTATCCGTAGAAAGAGCATTTTTTAGCCTTAAGTTCATACTCTCTGCGCAAAGAACTAAATTAAATCCTGAAATATTAGAAAATATTTTAGTTATCCGTTCCAATTCTCTTTTTAAAAATAAATAATATAAATTTCATTATATTTATGTGTTATTTTATTCCTCATTGTATCTGCGCATGTTTGTGTTTATCTTATTTATGAAATAAAAAGAATTGATTTGTCTAATTTATATTTACTAAGTTTAATAAAAATATCTATTAGATTATCATTCATGGTTTTAAATAAGAAATTATAAAAAGATTTTTCTCTAAAATTAATATATACATGGTTAATGATTAATTTTTTTAAAATTAAATTTATAAAAACCGGAACAAACCGAAAAGAACCGTTATAAATTATAAACCGAACCGAACCTATATGATTTTTTTTTAAAAAACCGAAATGGAACAAAACCTTTATAAAATTTTAAACTAAAAACCGGAACGAACCGTTCGAAACCCTGCTCTTGATTATCAACAATTTGCATTCAATTATTTAACGCCATCTATTTGTTTTAAATAAAAAAGGATATTAAAAATTAATCTTCATATTATTCATCCCACAATGTCTTTAAAAGATATTTTCTGATGTCCTCATCAATATTTTATAGTTTTCTGTAAAATATATAATTCGCTAAATTGGTAAAAATTACGTGATTGTCATATGATAATTGAAATTAGACATACTGTAAATCTACAGCATATAATATTCCAATGTTTGTATTGTGCTTTAATTTTTTTATTTAATTTATGATTTAATTTTATCAATAGTTTTATAATTATATTTTACTTTTATTAAGATAAATATATTAAAATTACTCACTTTATAAAAATATTTATGGATCTATTATTAATAATTATAATACATTTCACTTTTGTCTTAAGACTTATCTTTGGCTTATATTCCATTTCTTAAAAAAATATTTTTGGTTTACTTTTTATATATAAATGCTTTTTTCCAAAAATGTATAAATTATGATGAATAGTTTTATAAAAAAATATCAACTTTTACATTCTTTCTTTCAAATTATTGTTTAAGATATATGCATACATTTTTTGGGGGTCAGGGAGTAGGGGGAGAACTAAGGTGGATATTTTTTATAAGCCTAAAATGATATTCACAAAAAGTAATAAATTTCTGGGGGAAGGGGGGATTTCCCCTTGCAACCCCTTCTGGCTACGCTTATGTCTTGATCAAACATATGATAGATATATTCCTCAATTTTATATTTCTTGGTTTGACAGATTTCTTATTTTTAAAAATATGAATTTTAATATCAATTATTAACGAATTCATTCCACTCTATCTCCATCATATTTAAGCATCCACTAGACATTTTAATTTTCCCTCTTAAATTTTAATCAAGATAATATTTACTTACACAAAATCTGATTCACAAGTATTTTTATATTGAATTAGATAAAATAAATAATTTTTAGATTTATCAATGTGTATAACTAATGAAGTTGAAAATGTAGATCTAGAGGAAATCACAGTTGTTGAAGCGGCTTGGAGAAAACGACATAGTTTCCGACGAAATCAATGGAGAGCTGAAATTAGAGGATATCTATAATATTTTGATGTGCACAATAAACGAACCACCATAATCTACCAAAGCATTCAGGGTCTACATAGTGGAAATAAAATTAGAGGCGATACGTCATTTATCCCTACCCCCCCCCCTCCAATTTTTTTTTATTCGCTACACCCCTCAAAGATATATGAAGGCAAATAGCTGCAATATTTTAGAGGTCTGCATGGCAAAATTTTTAGACCCGGCTCTTTTGGGATTTAGGTTTTGACCGACCCGTCCAAATGTATACCCGGCCCGGTTCCAATTTTTTTTACTAAGGTTACCCTGCCCGATTTTTTAAAATCTAGAAATATATCCTATGGAAAAAACCAATAATGATAAGGATTTCGGTTTTATGATTTTCTTATTAAACACAAAATTTAGGGGGGGGGGATCATATTTATGTATTAATGATCATAAATAAAATATATTAGGTTGGAAATGTTTTTCACCTATTAAGCTCGCCTGGCATCTCTATTTTTTTGTGGACAGCCCCGTATATTTATTTTAGATGTATTGACCAGGCATGCAAATCTCTACTACTCTATGTAGACACTGAAAGCATCAACGCTGTTCTAGCTATAATCGAAACAACGGCAGAAGCTGAAAATGTTAAAAATTATAAAGGATATCGAAAAATTGGGGAGATATATGGTTCCCTAATAAAATTCCTTGAAATTATTATAATCAGTTTATCAAATTAATGGATAAGAAATTTACTCTGAGAAGCATTCTGAAGTGGAAGAAGTTTGGAGATGTCCTATTTTTATTTACAATTTTACGGGTGGTAAGTTCTTTCATCTCTCCATTTTATGTGCATACAACCGTCTGATTCGATTTATATTTTGTGAATTGGCTTTCACTTTATGGACTCACTTCTGCCTCTCTTCCATTTACCCATCAATTCTAAGATCTTAAAATCATCTTAGTCTGTCTTCAAGTTTTTATGGGTACTACCTTTATACTTCCAAGTACATATATATTTCGAATCTTTTCTTTTTGGTTATCCCACCTTTTATTTTCCGCATTATCTGTAAACTTATCTGTTCTTGGCCATGTTTACGAACTATAGAGCATAGTTGGCTAGCCTATGAAACAGTATATCTTCCCCTTTCATTTGTGGAATTCTTTTGTAAAGGAGAATTCCTGATAAATTTCTCCATCTCAACCCTTGATTCATTTTATTTCTTTTTTCAATTGTCCAATTTTTTTGCAAAGTGGAACGCTTATTTGTAGCTTTCAAATGCTTGTTAATTTATGTTTCATATCCAACTATTACCTTATATTCTGTTTTTCCTCTTCAACTAGTTAATTTTCCTTTTATTTCATCATTTGTTTCTGCAAGTATTACTATCATCTATAAATATCATATTCCATAGGGTTTGCTCTCGAATTAATCTGTGATAGAACATATATTGCTGTTGCAAACACGAGTGGATAAGAGCTGGCCCTTGATGAATTTTTTCGGCTATTAGAAATAAACTGATGTGCCATTTGTGCTTTGGATCATTGTGGTATGTTTATTGTGCTAGTCCTATATGATTCTAATAAACCTTTCATATATTTGGCTAGTAAAGCCCAAAAATAAGTTTTCCTGAAAATCTGTTTTCTTTAAATAGATGGCTTTACGAAACTTTATTTCTTTTCGTGTATTTTTTACTCATTGTCTAATTGCGTCAGGCGTTGATCTTCCAGGCATGAAACCGCACTGAGTCTCTCCTATTTTGACTATGTCTCTTAACCTTTTTTCTGTTATTCATTCGTAGAGTTAAGACGGTGTAATCTTATTTTATTTCTTTAAATATTATAATTACTTGGGTCACCTTTATTTTTGAAAATAGGAACTAACTGAATAACATTGCCTCGAATTGAGGAATTTCTTTGCTTTCTAGTATTTTGTAAGGAGTTTATAAGAAAGTGTATTCTTTTTCACTTTCTATTAGTGTTGTTAATTAGTCGAGTTCTTTCGACTACGACTAATAGTCGTAGTCATGAAAATCGACTAAAAACGTTACTAAAAAGACTAATATATTCGACTAAAACAACTAATTTAGTCGACTAAGTTGATCTATTTATCTATTAATTTAGTCAACTAAATAAATTTTTTAAGCCTAACCAAACTTGACCACTGTATAGTCGAGGTTACTCTAGTTCTTCCGACTACTTGAGATATCAGAGAAGATAAACCATAGAAAAGTCACAAATCTCATATTCGTTATTTTTAAGAATTTTTTGTTTTTCTTAATTTCTTTGAATCAAATGGGCAAAAATATATATGTTAATTAAAATTTAAATTAGGATGTATCATAGAAAAGTGACAATTGTCATATTCATAATCGTTATTTTTGAAGTTTTTTGAGTTATTTTAAAGTAAATAGGTAAAAATATTTTGTAACCATGTTAAATTTAAATTTCAGTGAAGATGTACCATTGAAAAGTGATAATTGTTATAATCGTTATTTTTGAACTTCTTTAAATTAAATAGGTAAAAATATATATTGGAAACATGTTAAATTCAATGATAGTTAAATTAAAATTTCAGTGAAGATGTACCATAGAAAAGTGACAATTGTCATAATCGTTATTTTTAATCTTTTTTTGAATTTTTTCAAAGCAAATAGGTAAAAATATATATCGAAACATGTTATATTAACGTTATAGTGAAGATGTACCTTAGAAGAGTGACAATTGTCATAATCGTTATTTGTGAACATTTTTGATTTTTTTCAAAGAAAATAGGTAAAAATATATATTGTAAAGATGTTAAAATAAAATTTCAGTGAATGTATCATAGAAAAGTGACAATTGTCATAATTGTTATCTTTTAACCTTTTTGAATTTTTTTAAAACAAATAGGTAATAATATATATTGTAAAGATGTTAAAATAAAATTTCAGAGAAGATGTATAGAAAAGTGACAATTGTCATAATCGTTATTTGTAAACTTTTATGAATTTTTTCAAAGAAAATAGGTAAAAATATATATTGTAACCATGTTAAATTAAAATTTTAGTGAAGATACGACAGAAAAGTGACAAATGTCATAATCGTTATTTTTGAACTTTTTTGAATTTTTTCAAAGCAAATAGGTAAAAGATTTATTGTAAACATGTTAAGTTAAAATTTCAGTGAAGTTGTACCATAGAAAAGTGATAATTGTCATAATTTTTATTTTTTAACATTTTTGAATTTTTTTAAAACTAGGTAAAAATATATATTATAAAGATGTTAAAATAAAATTACAGTTAAGATGTACCATAGAAAAGTGACAATTGTCATAATCGTTATTTTTGAACTTTTTTAATTTTTTCAAAGCAAATAGGTAAAAATATTTATTGTAAACATGTTAAGTTAAAATTTCAGTGAAGATGTACCATAGAAAAGTGACAATTGTCATAATATTATTTTTCAACTTTTTTGAATTTTTTTAAAGCAAACTGGTAAATATATATATTGTAAAAATGTTAAATTAAAATTTTAGTGAAGATACCACAGAAAAGTGACAATTGCTATAATCGTTATTTTTGAACTTTTTTGTTGAAACGAGCTGACTTTTAGCCTATGCCCGTTTATTTTATTAGGCGAGGAGGAGAGCACACTTTTTAATTACATAACCATTTAAATTTGAAAGTAAGATGATTGATTTGTAAATCTACTAAATAAATTTCTTGATTTGAAAACTATTTAAATAAAAAAAGATTTTTGTTAATTGGTTAGTTCAGACCCGTGGCTTGGGTCTAAAAATTGACTAAACCAGCTCTGATATTGATAAAATTAGATATACTGTAAATCTACGACATATAATATTCCACTGTTTGTATTGTGCTTTATTTTTTTTATTTAATTTATGATTTAATTTTATCAATCATTGTTCAACCACATACATGCATCAAATGTAAAACATTAGTTGACTCCAAAGGGAGACATGGTCTAAATTGTATATATAGTCAAGGCAGGCATGCAAGGCATGCAGCAATTAATTTAGCTATTAGCCGTTCTCTTACCAGGGCCCGAATACCAAACATCCTGGAGCCTACAAATTTATCGTTAGATGATGGCCTAAGACCTGATGGCTTAACTTCCGTGCCTTGGTCTTTAGGGAAATCCTTAATTTGGGACTTCACATGCGTATCTTCTTTCCCAAAAAATTTAAATTCTAATCCGGTTGATATAGCCGAGAAAAAAAAACAATGAAATATTCCAAATTCACAAATTATATTTTTACACCGATTGTTATCTCTTCCCTTGGACATATGCCAAGTGGAACTTTAAAGTTTTTAAAAAATATAGGGGATAAGATAAGAGCCCTTACATCAGAAACTAAAGAATTTTATTTCTTAAAACAAAACCTACAAATCATAATTTTAAAATATAATTATTTTTGTTTTTTGGGAACTTGTAGTCCCACCACGGTTTTTATATAATATTTTTATTTTATTTTATCATGTTTTATACATCACGAATTTAATAAATAATAAAATGTAAAAAAAAAAAATAAAAAAAATAAATAGTTTTATAATATTTTTATAATATTTTTCTTTTATTAAGATAAATAAATTAAAATTACTCACTTTATTAATATATTTGATATATTATATTATTTAGTAATTTTATGGATCTATTATTAATAATTATAATACATTTCACTTTTGTCTTAAGACTTATCTTTGGCTTATATTCCTTTTCTTAAAATACATTTTTGGTTCACTTTTTATATATATAAATGCTTTTTTCCAAAAATGTATAAATTATAATGAATAGTTTTATAAAAAAATATCAACTTTTACATTCTTTCTTTCGAATTATTGTTTAAGATATATGCATACATTTTTGGGGCTCAAGGAGAGTGGGAGGAGGACTAAGGGGGATATTTTTTATTAGCTTAAAATGATATTCACAAAAAGTGATAAAATTCTTAAGGGGGGATTTCCCCTTGTTCCTCCCTAGCTACGCCTATGGTCACTCTTCTATGGAACATCTTCACTGAAATTCTATTTTAACATCTTTACAATATATTAATTTACCTATTTACTTTAAAAAAATTCAAAAAAGTTAAAAAATAACGATTATGACAATTGTCACTCTTCTATGGTAAATTTCCACTGAAATTTTATTTTAACATCTTTATAATGTATATTTTTACCTATTTATTTTTAAAAAAATTCAAAAAAGTTAAAAAATAACGATTATGACAATTGTCACTCTTCTATGGTACATCTTCACTGAAATTTTATTTTAACATCTTTACAATATATATTTTTACCTATTTACTTTAAAAAAATTCAAAAAAGTTAAAAAATAACGATGATGACAATCACTCTTCTATGGTACATCTTCACTGAAATTTTATTTTAACAACTTTACAATATATATTTTTACCTATTTACTTTAAAAAAATTCAAAAAGGTTTACAAATAACGATTATGACAATTGTCACTTTTCTATGGTACATCTTCACTGAAATTTTATTTTAATATCTTAACAATATATATTTTTACCTATTTACTTAAAAAATTCAAAAAAGTTAAAAAATAACGATTATGACAATTGTCACTCTTCTATGGTACGTCCTCACTGAAATTTTATTTTAACACATTTACAATATATATTTTTACCTATTTACTTTAAAAAAGTTCAAAAATAACGATTATGACAATTGTTATTTTTCTACGATGGTACATCTTCACTGAAATATTATTTTTACATCTTTACAACATATATTTCTACCTAAATAATTAAAAAAGTTCAAAAATAACGAATATGACAATTGTCACTTTTCTATGGTACATATTCACTGAAATTTTAATTTAGCATGTACAATTTATTATTTTACCGTCGCTTTAAAAAAATTCAAAAAATATTACAAATAACGATAAGATAGATAAATGTCAATCACTATACTTTAGTTCATCTTCTATGATATCACAATTAGTCGGAAAAATTAGACTAATTAGCCACACTAACCCCGATTATACAGTTATGCAGGTTAAGTTCGGCTCGAAAATTTGATTACTCGACTAAAACGGGTCGACTTCTTTTAGTCGACTTAATTAGTTCTTTTAGTTAGTCGACTAAATTAGTCGTTTTAGTTGACTAAATTAGTCGTTTTAGTCGACTATATTAATCGTTTTAGTCGACAAAATTAGTCGTTTTAGTCGACTATATTAGTCGTTTCTATTTTAGTTGCTAAAACTATTAGTTAGTTGTCTGTTAGTCGACTAAATTTAGTCGATTAACAACACTACTTTCTATTATAAGATCATCAAGGGCCTCTTTCCTTATCATTTTATTTGAAAATTTAACTTTTATACCAATCGTCGTGAGAGTATCAGAGGCCTTCATGAGCCTTTATGATTTGAACAAAGCCGTCCAAGGCCCGCAGTAAAAAATTTTTTAGGCCCAGGTCCGACCCATATTTGATATTATAAAATTCCCAAGCTCATAATAAGTTTCACAATATTTCCCAACCAATATATAAAAATTTAATTTATTGATTTAATAAAAATAAGCAATATTTAAGTATATATAGGCAATCATTTTGTTTACATTATTGAAATTGATTATTATTAGAAAAAACTGTAATATTTTAAGTTAGAAACTGTTTTAGATAAGATAAATTTAAAAAAAATTTTTAGGCCTCAGTCGATTAAAAAGATTTCAAAAACCAGCCAAGGTCCGCTAGATAATAATGGGTCGTGGTCCAGCCCTGCTCATAAAGATCTTTAGAGAGTATGCACGATGAAGGAGATGAAAAGGTATGAAATAAATCGAATGTATTTATTGGTTTTTGAAATCCCAGTTGCAGATAGTTTATTTATGTTAGATAGGGATAACAGGGTCAGTACACAAAGGGTCCCAAACTAATAATTACCTCTGTTCAATAGGATTAAGGCTTCCATTGGTCATTGAGAGCTCATTTAGCTTTAATTTGGAAGGAATTCCTGCAGAAGTTAAAGCTCGTTTAGTAGTTTACACTCAGAATGCCAAGAAAAACAATCTTTGCGAGATTGGCATGGAGACAATGTCTACCATTGGAGTCGGTGTATGTTCGGCATTGTTCGCATAAGTCAGTATCGTAAGGCTGCAGTTAAGTCCTAGGTATATTGTATGCTGATTTTTTTCTTCGAATAAAAGAAGGACTAAGTTCTTGGAGGGAATTGATTTATAAAATTAGTAGCCATTGTCGCTTTAAATAAGATAATATCAATTCCTTAGCTCAATTTAAGGTTATCGACAGAACTTTCAACAAGAAAAGTTCCCTGGTTAACAGAGGGAAAATTAGATTTATAAGGTAGGTTTGATTGGTCTCGTATAATTGCTACTTCATCTAGATAATAGTTCGTTAGTTGGTAGTTAAATTAATCATAATTGGCAGGAAAATCGCGAAGATAAAAATCCACTTTTTGCGAGGGCCGTTGGAGATCTTAGATCAACTCAATTTATCTGGTTTTGCGAGGAAGGCTTGCCCAATAAGTATCGTTGAAGGGGAAGCGTATTTTATATTCGTAAATTTTAAGTGTCGCTGAGATATTGAAGATGCCGGTAGAGCGTAGCATGTAAAAGATTTTGGGGATGCTATAAAAAAATTAGGATAAAATACAATTGATAAGCTGGCAGTATGAGTAGAATTTCTTCAATTTGTGTCAGCGTTTTTAAGTTTCAAATGGCAGAGCCATGGCCAACAATGGAGTGTGAGAGAGTTAATTAAGATTGACTTATTGGAAAATCGTGATGGAAGATGCGATCCATGAGATTGGAATTGATGTGGCAATATTTAGTTCTGTATTTATGCATAGTTTTAAAGTTGCTGGATAACTTTGGAAATTTTGATTGTGATGTTTTTTTGATTAACCACTAATAAGAAACAACACCTTTAAGCCCTTCTGTGGATGAGTATTAATTTCGAATTTTTTTTATAAAAGGGTGATATAGAAAAGGATTATTATATTATTATTCCAAATAGTATTATATAATTATAAAACTATTATTGTTATATAACTATAAAATAACTGCTTAAATAAATTAACACTATACAATGTTTTCCAATTGAACTGTTACCATTTTTGTTTTAGCAATAAATCTATCATTCTAAATATAATTAAATAAAAAAATTTTAGGTTGAGAGAGAGATAAATTATCATTTCCTGAAAATGATAATTAAATTCTATTTACAGGGTCTAAGGTTATGCTTATGCACATTCGAAGTTAGACAAACAAAATTTGAACTTTCCAACATGTAAAAATTCTTTTTCTAAATATATTTTAATTAAACTTCACAATTCGACAAAAACATTTAATCATCAACATTTAAAATTAACTAGAGTCAAACTAGCAATATATTGATTGCAACTTGTTTTTTTATTGAAACTGCCAAACTGCGATGTTCGGTGTTTGTTACTGTGAATAGCTTTTCATCTCTGAACCATATGAAATGAACTAACCTCTGAGGGTATTTTTGTAGATGTTGTTTGGTACGTTCCAGATGGGCAATCTTATTCTCATCGGTTAGGCCCTGGGTTTATCTTTTTTTAAACATTTTCACTGCAGTTCTTTGTGGATAACCGATTCACTAATTTCAATGACAAATCGCTCTCTGGGTGTCAGGTCCTTGGCTCAACACGAGTGTTTTAACAGAATCAACATTTTCCAAAATACGAGCTGCGCATGGCCTACCACCATACCGATTTTTATTTAAAGCTGCTATATACCAGTTTCTGTTAAGAAATTTCTTCAAAAACATTTGACTTTAATGTTTTATTTCTTTTAAAATTTTAATTAAATTCAAGTCATCTTTAAATAAAAAATAAAATAATAAATGAATTTTTACATGTTGGAAAGTTCGAATTTTGTTCGTCCAACTTTTAATGTGCATATCTTTGAACCGATAAAATTTGATAAAATTTGCAAAAAACATTAATAATTTCTCCCTTTTAATTTATAAAATTTTATTGAATTATTTTTAAAATTGACAGATTTATTGATAAAACAAAAAGGTAATTCAATTGGAACACAGTGTATATAACAGTCTTATATTATTCTATTTTGAATCAGGCATAAATTTTCTTCAAAATTTTATAAGATCAGCAATCCAGATAAAAACCACGTTTCGATTGAATCTATAAAATCATGAAAGATTATTATTATCCTTTAATAGTGTTTCAATATCGCTATAATGAGTAGATAGTAAATCGGCTATAATATCAAAAGATGTTTCAAAACTTACATCATTACTTTGGGTATTATTATAAATAACGTTTTACAAAAGGATTAACGAAATCTGCAAAAATTTTAAGGTTTAGTTAGTAAATTTCACCCGCCGAAACCTGATTTAAAATATTTTATGGGATTATTACCCTGAGAAATCCTTACTTTCCAAATTTGCCATTTTATCCCTTTCAGTATAGTTCAGGGTCATGATTGACTTAAATCAATCTAGAAATTTTACTAGATAGACTAGAAATCTCGAACTCAGCATAATTGGTAGCTTATACATTGAGGAATATATCTTATAAATTCCATAAAATTTTAAAGGAAACTTAATACCAAAATAGAAATTGATAAAAAGGGTGTTTTTTATATTAACATCAATAATTGTGTAGCCCCTTCTTCGCTAATATAAACATATGGTAGGTATTATATATTTTTGATAAAATTTGAGATTAGCTATAAAGATGAAAAAATCATAGTTTGCCATTTTTACCCCATCTGTAGTATAACGGTCTCTCCTGATACTTAATTGTGAGATCTGCAGAAGTCATAATTTTACCCTCGCCCCCATATTTTATTTTCCTCTCATTTTCAAGTCCCGCTCGGATTATTTTTATTCAGCCTGGCTCAAATTTTTATGAGCTATGCCTGGATCTTTAAAAAGAATACTTGAAGGTCCCGCCCGTATTTTTAAAATTTCAGAATTTTGTAAAAAAAAGTTAGGCCAGCCCCTGGTTTATAATTTATAAAACCGGGTCCGGATTATAAAATTATTTTATTTTTCGGCCCGCTACTGAGCCAGGTTCATTCTCGTATCTAGGTCTCTGAGTTTTTACCCTATAAGATTTGGATAGCTTGACAAACTTTAGATGATCAAGGAAAAAATTAAATTTGAAATTTCTCTTTTACGTTTCAAAAAAAATAAATAATAAATTATGATGTATGATGTATGATAGTTACGACATCTCGGCGTCAATTCATAATATCAAAACTAGCTTTTATCATTAATAAAAAATAATAATGCTTTGATCTTTAATTAATGTTTGTTAATGAATACAATTTTAAAAATACTCTCTTGTTTTATTACATTATGGACATTATCTCATGAAGTTATATTTATTCAGAGGTTTTTTCATGTTTCGATTAGGGAGGATTTAATATATCCTCGAACAAAACTCGTAAAACTACAAGTAATAACTACTAATAGATATACATGTGGTTTTGATAAATATTTTTTAAAAAAATAAAATATCCTTGGAGGATTTAATATATCCTCGAACAAAGCTCATAAAACTATAAGTAATAATAGAAACATGCAGTTTTGATAAATATTTTAATATATATATATATACATATACTAATAATAACCTTTATACTAAAATAGGACAAAAGGTATTTATTTAAATTTATAACCAAAAAGAATGTAGTATACTTTTAAGTATGATAATTGAATCATTTTAGAATTTTTAAATAAAATCAGCAAACTACTCATTTATACTCTATATAGCTTTTCCTAATCGCACAGTCTCCTCTTTCAAACAAACACATAGACCTTTTGACCTTTTATAATTTTATAGTATCTATTTTCAATATTAATTATTTCTGGATGAGCACTATGTTTGAATAGAGTCAGGGTTTTTTAAAAAGTTTTTGCTTTTTTTACCAATTTTAAAGCTGTTTTTGGGGCTTGTCATACATTAATCCGATGTGTTCATATAAATGATTCGAGATTCCAGAGAAAATAATGATTATGTGACTTATGTTTTCTATTATTTAAAATAATTAATAATTACAAAGAAAAAAATCTGAAAATTGTTTTTTAATGATAAAGATCAAAAAAAAATTAAGCTTGAAAATAGAAGATGTCCGTTTGAAAATACTTCATCCAATCTATGAGATTGTTTTAATCGATAATCACGGCCAATTGTTTATAAGTCCATCCTACAATTTAAATAAAAGAAGGATCATTGAAGAGGATATTGTCATTCAAGCCAGAACAAGTAAATACATTATTTTTTTTTAAATATTAGATCAAGTAAATACATTATTTTTTTTTAAATATTAGATTTCTAAAATATATAAGCCTTATTGCTTAAAACTTGTTTTAGTGTTAACCTTAAATAATTACATGTTATATAAAATAAATACCCGATCGTAAATTATAAACCTAGACTAGGCTTATTCAAAGACGAATGTAAATCATATAGGGCGAATAATAAAATTTATTTGTATTTGTTGTAATCGAATTATTCTTTTTTAAATTAATATTATACTATAATATATTGATGAATTTTAAAAAACAATAATTATGACAAGTTAAACAAGTCATATTAATATAGTATATAGATGGTCAGTAACAGTATTAGTTCATCCTTTCTTTAATATTACACTTAGTCTCTGACATAAATGTATATAATATAAATCTTTTAGTAAATACTAAATAGTATCTAATTTATTTATTCATTCAAAATCAATCAGTTTAAGTAAATTATCCCGAGGAAAATATAGAATAAACATTTTAATGTGTTACTGACGCTATTCAAATATTTTATAAATTTAATAGTTAGTTTTTGATAAAAAAAAGTAAAATAATATTAATGTTTCAATATTATATTCCCCTAACATTAGCAAATTTACACTTTTTTAAATATTATATTTGTTTATTAATAGAATTTTTTTTCTCAAAGTTATATTTTGTTGATTTGTTGTAAAATAGACGATTTTGTCTATAAATTTCTTAAATTAAAATTATATTTCATACCCTAACCCTATTATATGGGTTGATTTTATATAAACGTCTTAATTTATTCCCGTGTATTATTTGGTAAACTAAAATTTTTTTTTTATTTTAGCCCAGTTTTAGATATGCTTTTTGGAGTCTAATTGCCCTATTGAGTTTTATTGTTATTGAATGATGTTTTATTTTGGTTAATTTTCCAATTTTTAAATCACTGTTATAAGTTGATATTTTGTGCCTTTCTAAATAAAAAAAAGAAATATATTTAATTAATAAATATATCAAACTTGAAACATAAATTAATTTAAAGTTTTCTTTATTCATAACTATTAATTATACCTTAATAAATTATAAAAAACATTATAAAATTTAAATAAAAGAGCTAAAAGACAAAGAAAAAATAAAAGAAAAGGGTTAAAACGAAAAATACATTAATAAAATACTTCCCAAAAATTAGAAAATGGTATAATATTCACAGAATCTCAATTATATATCTTTTCTTAAATAATCATTTACATAGTCTGTTAAATTAAATAATCTCGAAATAATTTGAACAAGCCATTTCTTTTTTGTTTAAAAGTATATCTGAAACAATTTGAATAAGACATTTCTTGTTTAACTGAATATTACAACAATCACGACCTTTACAAAAAGCATAATTTTGTTAGAACATTAAAAGAATAAATATGCGTAAAATTTCCTTTGAATTTGCAAAATTTATAAGATATATATATGGAAGTGGGAGAGGTGTAGGGTTGGGCGTTATCATCCTCTCACATTATCTAGCGTTATTTATTTTCACCTTAGATTTTAAGGATAGTTGGAGAACGGGTTTTTAAAATTCTCTTTTTCATTGTTTTTCACAAAACATTACATACTTAGACTCGAATCATCTCTCTAAAACTCCCGATTCCTAAATAACCGTCAGATTTTTTAAGAATATCCTATAAGTCACTATCTCATTTTACCTCTTTCAATTTAAAATTATCTTACACCTCTCTAAAAATGGGGTATCATGAGACATATCTAAGCTAGATAACTATATCTTTCAAAACTTTATATTCTAGACATGATATTTTTTTAAATTGTAATTTCAGTATTATATCAAAATATTATAACTATTTTAGATAATCAAATACTGCAATAAGATATTTGTTAATCAAAATTGTTACTCATAAAATATTATCACAACTCAGTATCAGTCATGCCAATAATTATATGATAATATAGTCACATTTGGCTTAACATAAATAAAAAAACTCACTAAGGAAATAACCTTATTCAAATATTAATAGCGATTAACAAGTAACAACCCTTTTGCAAAATAGGAAAGGAATGGGAAATTTATTCTTATTTGTAGACTCCATAAATTAAGTTATTATGTTATAGGAAAGAAAAAAACATGAGTGATAGAATGAAAAAATTAATCTGTCAAATAATTTATATATTATATACTTTTATAACATATATTTTGGCTTTTTATTATCCTTTTATCTTAGTTTTTATTAGCCATTTTATAAATAAAATAATTTTAGGAATTTTCGTAAATAAGTTTTATATTTTGCTTCAAATTTTTTTTGGATAGTTTTAAAGGCTTGGTCAGATTTAAAAAAATATATTTTTTAATTTTGCTTTCACTATTCTTATTGATCACATCTTGATAAAGTTTTTTTTTCGAATAATTTATAGCCAGCTTAAAAAATAAATAAACACCTAACATACAAAAAAAAGTCAAAAAATATATATTAAATATTTTGGTAATTTTCTAAAACACATTGACAATTATTTTACACCCTCCTTTTGACCTGATATCAATGTTAGCCATTTTTTTGTTTGTTATTAACCTTTTTGTTTTAATTGTTAGTGTCTACCAAACTGATTAGATTTATTAGGAACTAAACATTAGTAAAACTTTTTGAATAAATACTTAGAGTTTTTAATTGTTAGGTAGACCAAATTTTTCCCAGCAACTTTTTTCTTTACATTGTACTTATTATAGCACTCCATCAATTAAACATTAAAATCTGGCATAGATTTTTAGAATTACTGCTTCCAATTTTTCAGCCAACTTTAACAGAGATGATATAAAATATTATATATTTTAAAAATAAACACGAGGAAATCAAATATATACTTAATCAGAATTTCTAACATATGGAACCCAGCCAAATGCCGGGGTAATAAGGGATGCATAAAGTCCAAAAAAATATTCCCCCCCCCCCCGATTAATTCCAGTTATGCCAAAATATTAAAGAGAATTAGATATTTCTTCATGTGAGGAAGAATCTATGGTATAAACCTGCCTATGTAGATAGATCTGTACAGGAGATAGTAAAATTTATAGGCATAGCCGGGGGAGGGGGAATTTGGCCTGTTTTACAATATAATATAAAATCGCCCCTTACACATCCCTCTTAACTCTCCCCAAAAAATGTATAAATATATCACGATATAAACAATAATTTTGAAAGTAAAATAAACAAATTTTAATAATTTTCTAAAAAAACGAATATAATTCAAAATAAGACAAGAGCCAAAATTATTTTTATAAAAATATAACATAGATAAAGGCCTATATGTGAACTTAAAAACCTCCAATAAAATTTATAGCAAAAACTCACCTAATAGTACCCCCTCTCCTAGGCAATATATTGGCTACGCCTTAGGTAGCATTTATAATAAGTTTAGAAAAAATAGAAATTTTACCAATCGTTAAATTGCAAATTATATAAATTATACACATCATTAAGCTTCAAATTAGTTAGGAATTCTAATTATAAAGATATAAATATTGATTTATTAATTAAACAATGCTCCAATTATTGCTCAAAATTAGAGGTTTTTATAAATAAGATTTTCTTTAATATTATTTTAAAAACCATACTAATCATTCAAGTCACAAAAAGCGGAAATGAGCTCTCGCGAGAAGAACAAATAACGTATATTTTTAAAATTATTGTGATATACTTCTTTTTTAAAAATATGGTTATTCGGAGGGAGAAGGGAGTGTTGGGGGTAGATTTATATTAACTTTAAATTACTATATTTATGAACCCTGGTTACCCCACTGCATATATTAAATCCTAAAATCCGATATTTATTTTACCAAATAAAAAAAAAAAATTTTTTTATTAAAAATCTAACAATTTAAATAGAAATTTGCTTATTTTTTAAATAAATTTTAAATTGTGAGATTTCTAATTATTTTTTTAGATAATAATGTAAACATATACACTACTTATTTCCAATATTTTTAACATAATATAAGATTAAATAGAGAATTCATATTACTATTTAATTCGTTTTCGAATAGGCCTAATTTTAACGTTTTTATTATTCCTACTAATGGCGCTATAGCTGTAACTTACCTGTAGTTTTAAACTATCACGAGCGAACTTTTACAGATGGGCCTCAAATTTTGGAGAGCCCTTAAATGGCTGTACCTTAGCATATATCCTATATATAATTAGATATTAAGAGTATATTGTGATTTAATTTTATAACTATTGAATTTTTTTAAGGTATATGTAAAATAGGATTCAGGCAATTTTTTACATGTTTAGTTAATTTTTTAATGATTTTTTAAATAATCAATCATCTTAGAAAGAGGATATGTAGAATACGTCTCAGTTTCAATATCCGCTTTGTCGAGGAATGGAACTAAGTTATCATACTTGGAGAAAATGAATTGTGGATTGAAAAGAAGCCACGTAATTTATATTAAACCAAAAATAATCAAACATAGAGCCACTCATTCTAAAGCACATAAAGTTGGAGCAAAGAATGGTATTGTTTTAAAGATTCCAAAGTCAGGAGCGGACCAGGTGTACAATCCACTGACTCCTATTATGGGCAAGCAGACTTACACTGGAAGTGTTGAGGAAAATTCAATAACTTGTTTCATGAATGTATATATAATAATATATGTTGTGTATATATTTAAAATCTAGTAAAAGTCATAGATCCGATTCAACAGTCCACTACTATAAGGTCTAGGAGGGAAGTGGCCTTAACCGATTGGATTAATATTTTTAAGGCCCGCACATAGCCCCACTTTTAATTTAAACCAATTCGGAACCGTATTCACAATATATACGAATATTTTAGATAGATGAGAAGATATATATATTTGAAATATTTTATGTTATAAACTAGGGTTTAATTTTAAAAAAATATAATATAATTGCATACCAGTGACAAAACTTCCATAGAAGCAAAAGAAGCATTGCTTCCCTTGAAATTTTTCCTACATAATTCTTAAATAAACTTAATATAATCTTTATAATATGTTAAAATAAACTACTCTGACTTCGTTTAAAATATAAATATTATTTTTACTACTTTAAGGAGAATTACTATTATTTTTACTACGTTAAAAAATACTATTATATTTACTATGATGAAAAAAATATACGTGAGGGAAGCAAATTTAATATTGCATATTTTTTTTAATAAATAAAGAGAAAATCATGCGAATGTATTGTGTAATTTCACGTTTAAAAAAATAAAGCATTAGGTAAGCAAATAAAAAAAAATTTTCGATTCCTTCCTTAGTAGTAAACTTGACACCTCGTCAGTGTTGCATACTAGCCTAAAATAAAGAATTTGACCTATGAGCTTATATTATAAAATATTTTTTTCATTACTCTGGAATAAATCTGCTGTTTTAATCAATTCGATTTGATTGGTAATATTTTAGGTAAATGGATTCGATGGTTTCTTGCGTGAACCGACATACAAATTGATTAATCCACCAGCAGAATTTGTGATACATGAAAATGGTGACATTTGCACTACCAAGATGCTTGATTTCGAAATCAAATTTATTTACAATTTTCAAGTGAAAGTAGCTGTCAAATCAGTATCCTCCCAACCTAGTGATGTCATAGTAAATTTTACGAGATTTTGAGGCATTTTTAATATAATATATTTTGGAGCATCAATATGATTTGGTAGGAATAATTTTTGTAATATTACGCATTTATAGAACTATGTCTAATTTGAGTCTTTTTTTTAAATAATCTAACCAATTCATGAGGGCTCTATTGTATTGATTCCTCATTGGCGAAACATTTCCAATTAGCAATACTGCTAATTTGTCTAATGCCAATTTAAAGACATGTATTACTCATTGTCACATAAACTATCCCTCTAATTTGCACATTTGTCAATCTGAAACCGAGATTTCATCTTTCGAGAGTGTAAATTTTTTATTAAATCGATATTAATTCAATTTCAAACGTGTATTTTTGATGAAAGTGGGAAGGGGCTAAAATTATATTATATTTGTTTTTATGGACGACATAAATAAAGATTTTATAATAACCACTTTCCCTAAACAAGTGAATATTTTAATGGTCGGGACAAAACATTATCAAAATTCAATAAGAAAATATTTGAAATAATTATTTATCATTTAAAGAAAAAAGAATAATATAAGTGCAAATTCCTATACTTGTACTTTATTATCTAGCGTAATCAAAGGTGTAGTGAAGGGAAGGGAGTAGGAGATACGTTCCCCCTTTCCAAAATTTGACCGTTTTCATAAATATCATTTTAAGCTTATAAAAAATGTCCCACTATGCACCTCACACCCTCTCTCAAAAATTAATATATACAGAGATCTGCGCAGCCCGACAAGGGCCGGGCTCGATAAATTTAAAAAAGATTTAAAGGGTCGGGCAATTCGTACAGAAAGAAATTTTGACCGAGTCGTATAATAAATATATAAAAGGTCAAGCCTCGAAAATCTTTTATTTATCTAAGATTCTAAGAGGCCAGCCTGAGCGTTAAAATTTTATAATATTTTTCTTAATTTCAAGCTAATTATACTATTTGAAAATAAATTGCAACATGATTTTTGTATTATAAGAGTTGTCTAACAAAAATACTAAATCTATAAACAATAGTGAATTCACAAAAAACTAGTTAATTATGATATGATCAAATTACAAATACACCATACCAATTCATGAAACCATTATTGTAGTAATAGGTAACCAAAATAGATACATAAGCTTCTTAAATACCATTGGGAAAAATTAGATATAGATATCAAAAATGTAATGGCCGAAAAATTATACGAAAAAATTTAACGGGCCGGGGCGAACATTTCGTAAAATTTTAACGGTCTAGACGTGCAGATCTTATTATAAATAACAATTTTAAAGAAAAATGAATGTTAATAACTTTTTAAAATAATTAATATAATTCAAAATTTTTAGAAAAAAAAGCATATAAAATAAATATAATATAGCCAATGGCCAATAAGTAAGTGTAAAGACCTCCAATAAAATTTTTTTATAACCCCTCCCCCCTCACTCTTGAAAAACTATCTAGGCTATTTAAAATAACAAAGAGCTGACTTCCTTTAGTACTGTTTCGCAGTTTCAAACGATTATCAGTCTATTTATATAATAATAATCATTGGGTCTAAGAATTTATAAAAGGATTTACGTGTTTTTTTAATGCTGACTAATCAGAAATATTTTAAATCTATACACAAAATCTAAAATTCTGGAAATTTTTTTTCTTTCTAATTTTCAGAAACATTTTGTTTAAATGTAATTTTTGTAGGATTTTGAAAAACTTTATAAAAACGTTTTTTTAAAAATTCTAAATAACATAACATTGACCATATGTTACTTTAATAGATTAAAATAAAGAATGAACCAATGGATTATTAGATTTTCATATTGATAAGGCTTACTTATTATATATTATATATATATTGTTAATTAATCTTTGGAATCATTCATGATTTCATTCTAGAAGTCGATTATTTTTCTTTTAAAATATAGGTAACGGTAATTAATATTAATGACAATCCACCAGTTTTTGAGAAGACTAGTTACACTACGGAGGATGTGGGAAGTGACATTATTGTAGGTACCACGGTCTTAACGGTAAATACTCAAAAATTCATTAAATCGTTAAAATGATGACTATTAGAATTGCAATGCTAACGAAATTTAAAATATTTAAGGAATAGGAATTATGGAAAGAATAGACTAAGTTTTTTTTTGTTGTTGTAAAATCGAATTGGGTAAAGACGGAGAAGAAATATATAAATTTTAATTTATTAAACTTTATTTAAAAAAATATATTCAACACTATATACATGATCACATTGTTGATAAAAATGTATTATAATAAGGTCAAAGCAACTGATAGAGATTTAGACGTAGACGGGAAGCCAGGACCCATTCGATATTTTTTAAAAGGAGGTGGAGGTCAGTTTGAAGTGAAGGAAGACAGCGGAGAAGTAAAAGTCAAGTCATCCTTAGATTTTGTCAAAAAATCTCAATATACTATGACAATCAAGGCCATTGATGAAGGTGCACCAATTTTCGCAGCCTTTACTGAAGTCAAAATAAGAATAGCAAACAAAGTAAATGCCCATTGTTTTTAAAAAAATATGCCATTCATTAAATTTTTGAATTTATAAAGCATTCTTATTTCTTCCATTTTAGGTCAATAAGCATCCTGTTCTCCTAAAATTAATTTCTAAACCAGCCCAATACAAGGATTCAAAGGCTAAAAGGGATATTTTTGGCAATGAATTTTTAGGAAATCCATTCATGAGAGGAGAATCTTGGGCATTGCAAGATAATTCAGATGGTTTCTCAGGGCGAGATTTGCCGGCTGGTAACAGCAATGCTTCCCGTCAAGTACCCCCTCCTGCGCCCAAAAAAGGGAATGATAATAGCCAAACTGAGTTTAAAGTATCCATATCCGAGTCAGTTCCCGTGGGTTACGTGATCACCCAGGTAGAAGGAAGAGATCCAGATCCTGTAGATGGTTCTGGCATAGCTTTTTCCCTTAAGGGGGGCGAATGTGGTTCATACAGGAAGGAGGAAAAATGTTTCCTTATCGACTCAACTACTGGAAAGATAACTGTAGTCAAACCTCTAAATTATCAAGAAGAGAAAAATTATTATTTGTTCGTTCAGGCCAGTGATATGGGTCCTAAACCTCTGTTGTCTTATATGGGTATTTTGGTTGCACTTATTCCCATTAACAAATATGAACCGGTTAATATTTTCTTTAAAAAAAATAAAATTATTCAATTTATTTAAGTATTTAGTTTGGGTCCCATAAATTTTAACTCAAAATAAAGCAGGTAACCAAGGAGGGAGGAGGGAAAAATTTTCTGCCCCATCGCAAATTTGCCTGTTCTCATAAATGTCATTTTAGGCAATAAAAATCCTCCCCCCCCCCCACAATCTCCTCCCATCCCCTCTCTCCCAAAAATAAATACAATTCACTATAAAGTAGAATTTGAAAGAAAAATTAGTAAAAGTTAATAAATTTTTAGAACTACCTTAAATTTTTAGAAAAAATTTTTAGTAAAAACCCAAAATAATTTTATAAAAATATAATATAGCCAAAGGCTTATAATATGTGAACCTAAAGACTTACAATAAAATTTGGCGAGAAAAACATCCCCCCACTCCGATAGGAAAAGCATAATTTATTGTGTGTTCATTCTATTTTTATTAAATCGATGGGTAATCATATATTTTTGGGCTTAGGAGTTTGTGGGTCTACCACCAATACTAAAAGTTTCAAGTTTGACCCCAACTGGGAGCAAGATTTTAGATATCAGAGCTATCGATAAAGATAATATAAACAGCAAACTTACTTATCAGCAAATTACGGGCCCTCAAAATAACACTGACAAACAGTACGACCCTTCATCGGCTTCTTTCAGATACTCACCCGAACTAGGTGGTATAGTGACCCATGATAAAAGGCCATTATTACCAGGGGTGAGTGAGGAAATAACAATGAAAGCCATTGACACTGGAACTCCACCTAAGGAAGTAGTTGGAAAAGTCGTGTTGAAAAGTTATTTTGGGCCGGCAGGTTATTCAATCTTCATTTTAAAATTATTTAATTTTTTTTACAGTCATTTAGTGATAATACATATTGCGAATAAACACTTACTTTTATAAGTGGTCAATTCTAATTTATAAAACGAGTCTTCATTATAATACTTACTTTGATTATATATAAATAATTTTATTGTGTTTAAGCTGGAGAAGTTGACAAGGTACTTTCCCAAGCCACTGACACCTCGATAGCACCTTTGATATCGTTGGTAGTTGTTGTTATTGTCATCGTATTTCTTTTGCTAATTGTTGGAGTAATTGCTTATGCATACAGCACAGGGCAGAAGCCGACACAGGGTATTTATTTACTATATTTTATGTGATACGAAACGCCTAAATAAAGCGATAGGAAATTGTAAAATTAGTGATCACATATAATATTTATATTATTTTTTTTCAAATGGTCGGCTAAGTCATCAAGATTCCTCTCATGTTGGGAGGTTCGGGCCGTAGTAGTGACGATAAAAAGAAAGCTGGGGGAGGTGGAGGTGGCTTCTTCAGCAATTTGTTACAGACATCAAAACCTATAGAAATGAATTTGCAAGCAAAGATGGATGATTATGATACTAATTATAAGTATGACTACGATTATTCTTATGGAGATTATGGCGAGTACGATAATTATGATTCGTCTTATGGTGATTCTTACAGTAAAGATGTAAGTATATGCCTAAATAAATCGTTAAATTTCTTATCTCCAAATATTTATTTTTAGATTATTAAATTGGCGAAATTTATTTTATTAGTGGAGCTTAGAACTCTAATAATCCAGAGATTATGATTATTTTTTAAAATATATTTTTAAATGATGCGCACAGAAATGTTCTACTTTGGACAAAAATACCCATAGACAAAAAGACACAAGATAAATATTCCAATTTTAACATTTTTAAAATATATCTTTTTAAGCATCTAACGAAATTTCCGTGTTCGATGCATTTTGTCCTTGGGGATTTTGTCCAGTGTCTTCTTTCCCAGCTCTTGTAGTACATTTCTGTCCATGATTCTGTTAAAATGAATATATAGTAGATAATGTGTGATTAAAAATAAATTGACTTTTTTAGCAAAATACAAAAAAATTATTATTTTTATTATCTATAGATTATTGGTTTTTAATTTCAAAAAATAACAATTTGTATTTTCTTTGTTGTATCTTTCTAAATAATTTATTGTTGTTTACTTCATAGTCTATAATACCTTGTCCAAGCTTCACATTAGTTTTAAATTTACCACCGAATTTATTCTACATCTAGAGCGGATTTTTATTTTTTTACTTTTGATGAGTCACAATGAAAGATACAACTGTCCTGGAAAAGGACGTCCATATAATTTTATCTGGGGAATGGGGGGGGGGGGCGTATAAATTTTGTAGATAAGGCTATCAACAGAGAATTATTTATTTTCGGATTATATTTAGCGTGCCACCTTAATAGTATCACGTATTAGTTATACTGTTTAGTTGAAAGCAGGGACCTAGAACGTAACAGAAAATGGAACTTTGAGTTAAATTGGAACAGAACCGGAGCGGTATATTCCAGAACCTTCCCAGATGGTCCAGAACGTTCCTAAAAATCTATTAAAATTATAATAGGAAATAAATAGATGTTTTATTTCACTATTATACTTAGTTTTGATTAACCCGTTAATTACCAAGGTATCAAAGACATAAAGTAAAATTTTAAAAAATTTAAATTTCTTATACATTAATATAAACATATTTATCAAAATTTCAAAAAAAAATATTTCCATTGAATTTTGAATGTTCCAAAAATCAACATTGAGCGAGTTGATTTTTTGGTGAAATAATTTTGAGAATTTTATATAAATAAGTGCGTCACATTTATCGCACTTATATGTCGTATTTATTTTGCACCATTTGCAACGACCTTGATGTTGGTTTTAATTGGCATATGACTTATATCTACCTTTCAGATTGAATCAATTGGGCATCTTGGATGGGCCCGGATGGCATCGTTTTTTAGGTGCTCTTCTGAATATATGGTAAGACATATTCCCACCAAAAGTAATATGTATTTTCCAAGTGGATACAACTCATAAATTAAGAAAGTTAGAGAATAAACACCACCACCATTTGGGGGGGGGGGGGCAGTCGAGGACAATCGCTCAAAAATTCATCCAATGAATCAACATCTCCCATATGTTGATTATATGAAGTAATCATATTTGGTTGATCGATATCAATATATACCTTATGTTTCAAACTCTCCATCGCTTGACTTTAGAGGGTATATTCTTTGATAATTGCTCACCTCTGCTACAGGACTATCATTCCAATAAAACAGCAATCATTTCATCACTGCATAAGATCCTCTGGGAGTTTTTTCATTAGTTTTTGATCTAATGGACATTTTTGCTTCCCTGTTCAATACAATGTAAACCTTTTTCTCCTAGCATTCTGCATAAATTTGTAAGTAAAGAAATTATCAAAGAATGGTGCATGTTCTTGAAATGACAGCTGTTAATTTGGGCTACACTCTTTCACCAAGGACTAATTTCATTGTCATCCTTCCCAGCGTAAATATTAAAAGCAAAAGGATATCCACAAGATGAAGATAAAACCCAAACTTTTACGCCAATTTTTACTGGCTTTCCTCGCATGTACATTTTATAGTTTGGTTTCCATAAAAGGGGGATCATTTGTTCATACAAAATTGAATTTTCTTTGAATATACCAAATTGTTGTGGATTTCGAACAAATAATATCTAACTGGTCTGACCTTTGCTAATTTGTCAGTTGATATCGGGATTGTTGGCCAGATGTAAATATCTTTTTATTCCTTGGAAACGATTCTAGACATTTTTGTGGAAATAAAATGTGAACCTACATTTTCATCTTGAGACCAATATAAATTTTCTTGGGGAAAAATATGATATTCACTATATAAAATAATACCTATAAAAATGTCCAAATTCAAATTTTGAATGTCAAAGGAATGATTTAATTATTGATTAGCATATATTTTGTTTGATTTATTATAAGTGAATACATGTCTTTATCAAAAAACATACGAAATAATTCTAGAGGGGATTTTACATTTATATCATGAAAAGAATTTTCTAAGAATTGGTACTTATATCATTATAATGCTTTTCACTATTTTTTTTCCCATTTTGAAACTTTTATTCACTTAGAAAGTTGAATATTTTTTATCATATTCTGATTTTTCTCAACTTTCCCCACAATATCTTCTAATTGTTCTGACGATATATCATGATCGTTACTTTCTTCATCTGTAACGTCTTCTAAATTATCTGATTGTATTACAATAATTTCATGTTCACCCGAATTTTCTAATAATGCGTCTAAAGCTGTTTTTAAATGAGCTTATAAATTTAAATTTAGATATCGTTATTTACCAATGTTTGAAAAATGGAACATAATAATATTTTACATATATTTTTTTGAATTAAAATTTTATCGGAACTAATTTTTTTTAAAGTTTTTGATACTTGAAAAAAATTAAGAAATTGAAAATTTTAAAAGCTTATAAATTTTACAAAATAAGTTCAAAATAAACGCCAAAGTTGATGTTCCAAAAATCAACATTGGTGATTAATGGATTAATGGATATATAATTATAATTAATATTAATAATTATTTATACAAAAAAGGCAACCTAGATAAATTATTTTTATTTTCTTTATAAATATAATATTCATAATCAATAGTCGTAGAAAATAACAGCAAACAAGTAGCAAATTAAGAAATTAATAGAATGTAAACATAAAAAAACACAATTAAATGAATATGATATGGCACACAAAATTTGGAATAAAATAATTAATAAATGAGGGATATTAATTTAGTTTTATTAACATTTTATCTTTTAAACAATATAAATTGGATTTTATCTTATAAAATAAATATTTTCAATGGACAATTTTATTTTTGATATTAATAAAAAAAAATCATCCAAGTGCCATCATTGTAAAACCAGGATTGTCGGAAAACAAAGATTATTTATTAAGACATCTAAAAACGCATTGATGTAATAATTCCATATATTAATGGTTAAATAAAGATTAATGAATGGAATGTGTTGATTTAGACAAATATATTAAGTTATACATTTTTCTAGGAACGTTCCAAATTCGTCTGAACCCTAAGGGAACAAGAATGCACAAATATTGTTATTTCTGGTTCCTGTAAAATCCTTGGCTATTTTTGTCAAAAAAATAATTGCTTCTATAAAATTATATATTCTTTTTTAATAAATGATCATTTCACAATATTAGCTTCTTGAAGTTCAAATAACTGGAAAGAACCCAATTAAATCATGAAAGTAGAGGATCATGATTTGCATATTTTAAAAAATTTAAGATAATGTTTGGTTGGGTGAATGGGGTAAAAATAAAAAATTACAAAACAAAGCCATAAAAATTGGAAATTGAGCGTAATGTATTAAGTTTAGTTTTTTAAATTGTTTAAAATTATTTTTGTAAATTGTTTAAAATTTTTGTAAATTTTTGGATAAATCTCGAAATATTAAGAATACTCGTAAAATTTGCAGTTTAATGTTGTTAAATTTAGTCTTCAAAAAAATTTATTAAAATCACATACAAACCTTCCCCCATGTTTTTCATGGCTCTCTAACACGATGTGGATGTGAATCCATGACGTAATTGAAATTTTAGAAGGACAACCTCTTAGACAACATACATAATCGATGTAACCATTTTATAATTGAATTATTTTATATTTTAGAATTAGGGTCCTCAGTGGAAAGGTGGGGGGGGGGGTGTAGATTGGAGGGAGGGTAGAAAGGTTAGAAGGATATGGGATAGGGTTAATATATAATTTAAAATGGTTTAAATAGAATTTTATATTTTTACTATTTAATGCCAACTACACTACAATAAAAAAATTTTATATTATCTAAAAACTCAATTTAACATATCAAGGGGCGTATCATTTTAAACTGTAAATTTAATGGGGAATCTGGAAATAAAAAAAATAATATTTATATTTCTGAAAATATATTTAAAAAATAATATATGTCGGTTGAGATTTGAAATTCATTGGGATTCTGAATCTCTCAATTTTAAATTATTTGAAGTAAATCCAAATATCTGATTTGAATGAAAATGTATTACAACATATAGCAGAGACTTTCATGTGCCGGACCAGCCATCAGCCCATAAAATTATATTTTCTAGCTGGCCTGGGGTTTTGGAAATATTTTAAATAGGTTTGGGCCTGGCTTAACCCTAAAAATTTATATTTATATTTAGTATATATAAAACATTTGCTAACTTAAAAAATATATTACAACTTTTTTTTCTTCTAATAATAATAAATTACAGTATCAAAAAAAATATGATCACCTAAATGCACTGAAACAAAATTTTTGAAATTTATTATGGGCTTGTCCTGGGCCTATAAATTTTTTTTACTGCGGGTCTGGGCCGGGCCTGATCAATAAATCCAGGCGCATGAAGGTCTCTATTATGGAGTGTCCAAATTTTGAATTTCAAATAATTTTGCTTCGATTTATTGCTATTAATTTATATCTGTTTTTTAAATAGATTTTTCATGAAAATTATTTAAAAAATACATAAAAGTGTATGGGGAATATATTCTACACGTGTTGGAATATATTTCTGAATTGAAATTTAAGAAATACCTTTCGCGAGCGATGTAAAATTGAGAAATTCCGAATCCCCGTGGATTCATTTTTCGATATGACATATATAATAGTAATGGCTTTTTATTTTAATTTTTATCCCACTCAATCAAATGCTACCTTTATTTATTTAAAAGGTATATTTAAGATATAATTAAGATACTTTTTTATTATAATATTATAAAGTATACTTAATGCCAAAATTGGAAATATATTGCTAAACTCCAATTGTTAATTAAACCAATTTTTTTTCCCATTCAGTTAGATATTTTATTTATATATAAAACATATAATTAAATGATTATAAAATATTATTGTTACCTTTTATTAATAAAACATTCTCATCGTTTTCATCACCGAGATATCTCTGTTTAAAGACATTTTCTGGCACACTAATAAGTCTTTCAACTGGTATATTGGAAGGTAAGGTATTTTTATTTTACGATAATTTTTAAATAAGTTCTTAAAGTAATCATTCAAAGTTTAATAAGTTTTAAAATTTATATTCTTATCTCCATATCCTCTTAATACAATATCAAATATTTCTATTTTTTTTTCTTAGACTTTTTTAATATTATTTGGAAAAATTTAAAGTTCATCTACTAATCGCTATGCCAATTCTTTCTTTTTTTTAAAAAATTTCTTGGCATGGTTTACCTATAACTATTAATTCCTAAAAAAATTTAAGCTAATTCTGTGAAGTATGATCAAGGTATCAGTAAAAAAAAGGTTTTCTAAAAAAATAATCAGAGCGAATTGATTTGTTATTCATCAAGTAACTGAATAAAAAAAATTTATTCCAGAATATTCAAGAAATTGATCTAACGCTTAAATATAATTGTTGTTTTTGTTCTCCAAGCCCTCTAATATTTATTGGATACATACTTATAATAATTATTTTTTATTATATATTATTCAAAAAATATTTAGTCCTACTACGACTATGACGATTCCAAAGATTCCAAAGTAAATTTTTACTTTATAATTATAAATAATAGAAATGAATAATATGAGAGTTCAAAATTATTTTAAAGAATTTTTTTTTACTGTTAGTCACTATCAGTAATTGGCTAAAACCTAATTATTAAAACTCTAGTTCATTCTATCCATAGTTTATTTGATTGATGTAAACCTAGGTTTTGGTAAGTTCAGTTTCTTCCAAATTATTGGCTTCCATAATTATAATCTTTATCCACTTACATTTTAACTACTAATCCTTTTTAATTAATACCTCTATACTCCTTATGCCTTATATATAAAACATAATGTTAAACTTTGAAGTCTGGCTATGACACAAGTACATATGGCGGGGATTATTCTAGCTACGGAGGAGAATCCGGCACTTACGATGCATATGGAACCTACGATGCCTCCTACGGAACTGAATCTGGGGCATACGGTACCGAATCAGCCTATGGAACTGAAAGCGGAGCTTATGGAACAGAAAGTGGAACGTATGGAACTGAAGGAACATACGGAACCGAGGGGACTTATGGAACCGAAGGTACTTATGGAACCGAAGGTACTTATGGAACCGAAGGTACTTATGGAACCGAAAGTGGTACTTACGGAACAGGTAGTGCAGCTTATGGAACAGAAAGCGGGACGTACGGAACAGACAGTGGGGCAAGTGGGACTTACGGGACAGATAGTGCTGCTTATGGAACTGAAGGTGGAGCGTATGGTACTGAATCTGGAACCTATGATGCGTCTAAGACAGCCGGTTCGGAATATGGCGCATCTCAAGAATACAGTTCAGCTTACACCGATGAATCCAAGAAATAGCTGCGATTGCCAAAAAATCTCATATCTATGGTTGTAATAATATTAGTTTTATGATAAAAAGATTCTAATTAAATTGTTTTATTTGATCAATTTCATATTTTATTCAAATCAAGTTTTATATTAACTAATTAATAAATTTTTAGATGGTTGAATAATAGCTCTAATAAAAACTTTCACTATAGCTTTTTTAGATGGTAAACAAGTTTCTTCATATATACTCGATTCTAACTATGCCCTTATCAGGGTTGGGTAAATCTTCAATTTGAACTTAAATATAAATACACTACAAAAAAGTATTTGAAATAGTGGTCTGCAAGGCCCGACCCCTTCCCCTGATCCGAATTTACTTTGGTCTTGGGTGAGTTTAATTTTTAAATATAATTTTGGTTCGGGTGACAAAAAATTTTTTTTTAATTTCAGGCCAGGTCTAATGATATTTAGAACCCGATGCAGATCTCTAATTTGAATATAAATATAAATACGTTTTAAAAAAATGTATTTTAAATATGATGATTAAATACCTAAAAAAATATTTTAATACAAATATTTTGACAAATAAATACTTTGACGAATACATTTTGTCGATTTTTTTAAGTGCTACTTATTTTTATTATTAACCATTTTTTTTAAATTATCAAATATCTGCTATAATGTAGACATTATAAATAATATAAATATTGTTGCGGCAGTACTACTGCCGCAATCTCTTAAATTCTGTGATAATTCATGATTTTATACTTAATAAAATAATGTGAAAGTTATTGCTATTAATATTGCTACAATTTTAATTTATATCCGAATTGTAAGATTATTATCAATCAATTTTAATCGATAAGTTTTAGTCACAATTTTTATAAATTTTTGTATATTGCTATTTTACAATATTTTTTTAATATTTTTAACTTCCTTTTTTTATATTGATGAAATAATAAAAATTTGCCTTTTTATATATAAGTCTAATGTAAGTTTGTATAAAAAAGAGTTCAACTTGGTTTATAGGTTTGAACCGAGCCGATATTTTAAGAATTGAAGTCTAACCATGAATAATTATTATCAACCCGAACCTGATCCGATATTTGTTTCAGTTCGGATCTCTGGTTTCTATATAAGCTATATAAAATATTTTTGCCTGGATTCTGTGGCAACGTAAACATCCATGTAATTTGACAATTTTGGATGGTTTTCAAAATATCCATCAAAAATCAATAATATAGTGAAAGCTAAATGTAAAATCCAGCAATTTATTATATTCTCTATTAAATATTATTAATTATCGAACCAATTCACAAATTTTTTTAGCTGTTCGGCCGGTTAAATATTCATTTAGATCAGTTTCAATAAAATATACCGGTTTAAAGGTTTGGTTTAGGTTCGGTTTGGATTCCTCATAGAAACTCCTCTTCTTTGATTACTATATCTTCCTCACCTTCAAAAAAAAACTTGTGTTTTCGCTTTCGTAATATAATCATTTTAAAAATTAAACAGGATTTAAAATAATGAATTTTAATTTTTTCACTAACTCGGGTTATTTAAATAATTAAATGTGGATTTACATTTTAAAATCAAATAATAATAAAAAAAATAATATTTGTATTTGTCTAAAAATCGTAAAATTAAAATAAATACAAAATACTTTTTATCCCCACCCCCTTCCCTATGTAGAAAATATGATTAGTAAAATTTTCGCTTCATAATATACTTTTATATTGATATCTAGCCTAAAATTTGCTTTTTCTTTTAAATTAATACGCACCCCCTTCTTAATTTTCTAATTCTATAAAATAATCTCAGAAAATCCTTCTTTTATTTAAAAAAGGTGCTTGAAATCTTAATCTACGAATAAAGAATATTATAGATGCATTTCATTTTAAAATTAAATTTTCATATAATAAATTTGTTATAAATTTTATTTTAACTTTTCAAAACGGGACACTTACCAGAGACTCCATAATTCGTAAGGACTATTGACCCCCCCCCCCTCCTCTCCATATTTTTAATTGCGCATTTAGTATTACTATAATTTATTAAAAAATCTCTCAATCTTAAGCCTTGAAGGTAACAAATCAACTATTATAATCGGTTTCAATTTCACGGTAACCAATCCATTACTTTGGTATACATTACCGATGGTGCCACAAATCTATTTGGCTACTTTTTTATGCTACCATTACTAAATTATAAAAGTATTAAAGCTACAGCTGAGACATCTAGTCTTCTATTTTGAAATTAGATAAAAAGTTTATTTTTAATCACGATGATAGTAATTTTTATTAGATTTTATGTTTATTTATTTTTTTACTATAATTGCTTTAGTGCTTCTAGATTTTCCGTTCTAACATGAATCTTGATAAAATATTAGGAATTTTTATATTTTGCTAATAACTTTTTTATTTATATTGTTTACAAAACGGATTGAATTAAAAGATATTTCATTTTAGCAATATATATTATTGGCCTAGATAGAATTAACGCTTTCAAAAGTTTGGCAAATTTCATGTTTGGGATTAGTAATATGAATTATATTCATAACAATTTTTAAAAATATAACTCGATTCAAAATATAATGGGATTTAAACTATTTTATTTCTATATCTATTATATAAACTGAAAAGAACAAATAATATCTATAAAGATCATAGAATTATAAGATTCAAAAATATTTTGAATCAGAAAAAACCTTGTAATTAGACTAATTGATTTTTGAATCGCAATTTAATTCGATATTTACGACTTAGCCTTAGGCATTCCATTATTTTTATTTTTTCTCTTATAGCTGGTTTTTGTTTATCAACTAAAAAACTTATTCAGGAATTAGTAAGTACTACAGGTATTTCATATTGGTTCACCCATATCTTCAATGTTTCTATAATTTCCCTTTCTAGTATGATGCTAATCATGAAAATTTTATTTTCCAATAATGCGTTTGTCATTAAACTATCTACTAAATGGGCTGAAGAATTAAAATATACTAAATACGCACTGATTATATAAATTTCAGAATTAATGCTTACAAAAGTGTAGCCTTCATGTTTAAGGCGTGATATCATATTTTATTAAACTTGAAACTTGGTTACTTTTTTTACGGGGCGGCAAAATTAATTGAAGAATTAATAAGTGAAAGTAAATATTAGAGCAAACTAGATATTTAGAACTCCTAGATACTCCTTTCTGGTATGATGTTAATTTTGACAATTTTTTTAAGTCGTCTACCAAACCGAATAAAGCAATAAAATATATAAAGCACTACTTAATGGCTTGATATAAATTTTAGAATTAATAATTCCAGATTGGCTAACTTTACGCGTAAAGCGTATGTCATAGTTTTTAGTTTTACCTTGTTTATAATCGATTCCTTTTTTCTGATTCTCAAAGTAGATTAAAGATATAATTGGCACTAGCTAAGTCACAAATATTAGCGCATATTTAATCTTTCTATTTTCATTCTAGCATGATCCTATTTTTTTTTAAATTTTGCTAATACCTATTCTTTATACTGATCGTATTAAATTTATATACAATTAAGCACTAACGCTCCTTCAAAATATTGTTACTAAAAATTTTTTCTTTATACTGACTATATTTGTTGAAGCACTTATAAACAATAAGATAGAAGAAAAAATTGGCACAGATTTAAGCATTAGTACATCCAGTCAGCTTCTACATGACAGGAATCTCACTGGATGCAAACCCCCTCAAAAACCTATGCCTACCCTCCTTGAAAATTTTCGCCGCCGATTACTCTTTTTTAATTAATGGTACCTCCTTCATAAATTTATAATAAATAATTTAAATTATTTTAGCTTTAACATCAAAATATTGTGAATATAAAAGCGGTGTTTTGTAGATCATGAATTGAATTAAAAACCCCTTATCTCATTTACAATGAATGCACTATTATAGTATATTGCTTGGCATGAATATGAGTTTGCTGAGTATTTAAAAGATAGCAATATATTGATTTCGGTCGATGAGTAGCAATATCATTGTATTATAATAAGTCTATAATAAAAGTATTAATTTTTACAAGAATATTTTTTTGCCCTATTTCATTTAAAAATTTAATAGATAGCACCCCAATAAATTAATCATAACCCCCTTGGCGCCTACAGCCTCAAAAAATGGGATGCAAACTGCTACCCCCCCCCCTCCCTTCGATCATGTAAACGCTGTTTCCTGTTGTTCAATCAACTTTAACGAAAATGATATATAGATATTATATATTTTAAAAAGCAAAATAATAATTACGGGAAAATGAAGAGCAAATACGAGTTTGGGGTGCGAGGTCTACCAAAAAAAATCATAACCCCACCCCCACCCCCACCCCCAACCCTTTGAATATATCCTGGTTAAGCCACTGAATTAACATTACATTATTATTACCCATGTTATGTTTAAATTAATAATTCATTATAATTATTATATATTGTTTTATTGAGCAATAAGATTTACAATGGTAAAGATTGAAAACTATACTATTCTATAATGAATTATAAAATAAGCATTAATAGACACTGGACCTAACTTCATCAAAGCTTTTTAATATATTTTGTTTTGCCATCATAATGTATAAACTATATCCTTTTATAATCACTTGATAGTAATGAAATTAGATATAAAATAAAGCTTTGATTTCGGGTAAAGGAAATAATTTGATGCCCATTGTAATTCTCATCTGAAGCCAAAAATCAATATACGATTAATATGTATTAGTTACCATTCTCCACAAATGCATAAAGCTTAAATGGGTGTCTAGTTATTAAGAAGAGCTAATACCAGTGGCGTCACTAGGGAGGAGCGCGCAGGGGCTCGAGCCCCCTGAAAAATTTGAATAGCCCCCTGAAACAAAAATTATTTTTTTTAATGGCTCCTTAATATCCCCGCTAAAAATAAATTTTTTGATTGCCCTTTGAAAGATTTCTTTTATAATTCTATTAAGATATAGGTCTAATTTTAATATTTAGAAATTAATAAGACTATCTAAATTTTTATTAAATATATACTATTTTAATTATTAGATTAGATAAATACATATAAATTATATTTTCACTGTGTCAGCTGCAATCAAATTCTGTGAAAAATAGAATATCAATAT